GGAAACTTTGGATCTCCCCAAATCATTGACTACTAATAATTATTTTTCTCATATAGTAGGACTCTAAATTAAATTCGTACTGATTCTCATTGACTCTATTGTCTCACTTAGGGGAATCACTTAGTCACTAGTCTTCAATTTCATGATTTGTAAAAGTGAAAGCTTTTTTATTGCTCAAGAAAATCACAAAATAAATGAACATGCATAAATGTTATGAGTATTTTTGAGAACCACAATAAATGCATCTTTTCTTCCAGCTTTTCTAGCTTTAGAAGAACAAGCAGATTGTCAGAACTTTTCGAACAAGACACTTCTGAAAAACCACCACAAGATGGAGATGAATCTACAGTTTGAGCAGAGAACTGTATTGAGGTAGTCATGCAAACAAATGTTTTTAACAAGTTATTAACATTCTATTTGAAACTGTAGCAAGGAAAAGTATTTTAATATACAGAAATTTTTAAGCAATTAGTAGATAACTGTAAATTAAATATCTCAGTTACTTAACCAAACGATTGAGAAAATGTTAGTCTACAAAAGTACATTTCATTACCTTGTCTCTTGAATCCCTTGGCCAGATAAAACCATGCGTCACTACCCCTACAGTTCTTTCAAGGCTCCCTCAACCACCATCCTCAGTATAACTAGATATTCATTTCCTTAATGGCTTCTCCTAATATTAGCCTGTAGGAATTTGGATGAAAGACACACAAATGTATTTCTTTATATTAAAGGAACAGTTCCAGCTTTGTCCCTCTTAGGTAAGATAACTACTGACTCCAAAAGGACTAAAATTCATCTTTCCCTGTCCATGCCATATTACCATGGATAGAACCACAAATTAAGTCTTTCTTATTTTCACAGATTCTATTGCCTTTCTTACTAATCAACTTTTGGGGGGGGTAGGGGGGGGAATTTGGGTTAAGTGACTTGCCCAAGGTCACACAGTTAGTGAGATTCTGAGGTCAAATTTTAATTCAGGTCTCTCTGACTCCAGGGCCAGTGCTCTATGCACTGTGCCACCCAGCTGCCCCCTCAATCAGCTTTTTAAAAGCCTATCATGCACATTGTTAAATGGCCTGAAGATTCAAGTACAAAGAATAGAGATCGTTACTAATTACACACATATCCCAATAAATAGCAAAATATCTTTATATTTTTATCTTGCAACTAAATGATTACACAGCTAACTAGTTTAACATCTCTGGTTTAATATTTTAAGTGAATCTAATCCCTAGGTCACAATCACTAGCTTAGGAAAATTCCCTGAAGGCATCACTAACAATTACCCTCACTTGCCAGAAACCTCATCCTCAGCTCTCTACCTCCACTAGATAATCTTTTACATTATTTCTTGTGTCTATATACCATCTACCTATCTACTTCATATGGCCCAGGGACAGGTAGTGTTTCTCTGAGCACTAATTTTTTTCATCTGTAAACTGGCAATAATACTATTTTCACTAACTTGCCCTAGGGGAATTGTCAGAAGGACAACACTATAAAAATTGTAAAACACTGTAAAAACAACAAAGAAGAAGACAATGGGCCAGGAGTTACAGATTTAAGGTTGATGTGATCCAAAACATATATTTTACATAGGTTTTATACACTAAATCAATGATGCTTAAATTCTTTTTGAACATGTGAGTTTATCAATAAAGAATTTTTTAGAATTGTATCTTTAATATATGTAAATGTATTTGTTATACAGATGTACTACTGTACTCACCCAACATATATAAAAGCAATTTTAAAAAATGAAAGTTTAAAATTTTTCATTTATGAATAGTACAAAAAACCTTTTGTTCTAATGAAAATTATCATTAATATCTATGGTTTTGTGTCATTAATAAAATGAAAAAATTTTCAAATACTGTTCATCTTTATTGCACCATTTTGAAGTATATGTTAAATTTTTATCTAGATGCAAAACTATATCATACTGATAATTTAAAAGATGAGTATTTAAAAATTTTTTTCATTTGACTTATGAATAGCAAAAAGGTTTTTTGCTCTAATGAAAATATTTAAGGTTTTACGCCATTAATAAAAATCAAATATTATTTATTTCATCCTTACTGAATCCTTTTGAAATCTATATTGAAATATTATTACGATTAATAATATTTTAGTGAGAAAAGTTATTGAAAATGCTTCACTATTTTTTGAAAATCATAGAGTTTAAATTTCTGTGACACATTGATTTGAAAAGTCTGGTTCTAAGGTATTTATTTCACTTTCTGGTTTTAATGGCTGACACAACTTAATCCTTCACAAAGATTAGTAGATCAAAAAGGAAGAAGTTCATCACTGGATATGTTTATTGAACAATGCTTTTTCTCAATCCCAAACTCCCATCTTCCATGATGTCAATGAGTTGTACTTGCAAACTAACAGGAAGGAGTTGCACTTTTATACATATTTTTAATAAATGGGTTCAAAATTTATTTATACTTCATTTGGAACATTTTTAAACACATCAGAAAATTATATTTCCAAATATTTAGTTGTATAGTGGAGTTTTTAGAGGTGGCACCTTTAAATCATTTTGGCAAAAATTGCTTAAGTTTTTAAATGCGTCACTAAATCATAAAGACTTTACACTATCATTAGTGAACATTTCAAGGTACAATATATACGTAGGGTGAGGATAATTAATGATAATGAGTTTAAGTCCATATATCAAATAGTGATAATTTCAATTTTTTTTGTCTGATTTTATCAGTGCTGATTAGATCATAATTTTTGCCTCATGACATGGTTAACAAAGAGCTCATATTAGAAGTACAAGTGTCATTTCTGCCATTTTTAGTCATTTGTGCTTCTATTATCTTCAATCTGCAGATTCTTTTCAGGACTGTTTTTAAGCCACTAGTCCTTTTGCTTTGGGTTAGTTAAAACTAGATAATGTAATCAGGAAATTCACTTCACTGTGCACACACTAATTATGACTATTGCAATACACTAAAGTAAGCAAATGACTAAGGGTGGCACTATCCATCCCTTTATGTTCTAGAACTTCTCTCCCCTCAGGATTCCTCACTTAACACATGAGGGTACTAGTGTAAATTGGTAATAATTGGTAACGTTTAACAACTTATTTTTATGGAAAAAAATTTAAATAGAAATTATACTTTCTTCCCATACCCAAATGGATGATCTTGTGCACTTTGGAGACTGTTACCCTACAACAGCTAAGGAAGATTAAAACTTATTCAGTTGAATTTACCAATAAATTCACACAAAGAGAAATGGAAAATATACCACTTCCTACCCCATCTCCAAAGTATAAGGAATGGACAGAATCAGTGCTCTAAAAATGTCACCTCCAGCACTAACATCATCTATTTCAGCTCCTCCTCTCATCTTTGTTTCTAGTGCCAATTAACCCTCCTTCTGAAGTACATCTGGTATTGTTCTGTTGTAGGCCAACTGTAGAGACTATACTATACTTGATAGATTTTTTTCTAATTTACATCTGTCTGTTATCCTCCTTCCATTTTTATCCTTAGCTGCACTTGGGATAACTATATTGAGCTAGAGCTCAAACTGTGCCTTCATGCTTGTTCTTCCCTCCACTGCTTTCCATTATTTCATGGAACAATATTTTTCATATTCTGCTACTACCCTTCATAAAATCTTACAAAGAAGTTGAAAATTATAATCTGATACTGCCCTAGTCTGCCATGTTAGCAAGATCAAGTGTTTTCTGGCCAACTTGGATTATGGGTTCTTTTGAAGTCCTTGTAGCAAATGATTAACTGATTATGCCTCTGAATAAAACTTATCATTGGTGTCACTATCTTTTCTTCCATCTATTTCTCTTATTTAAGCAAAAATAACTTGTCTAAATAAGCTAGGTTGGCACTGTTTATTGGCATACCATATTTTTATCATTTATCCTCTCTTCTAGTTTATTAATTTTTATATTTGCTCTGAAAAGCTTTTACAATTTAAAATAACTCTCATATCAGTTAAGAACTAACTATGTCTTGTTGGTAAAAAAAAAAAATCAGCTTCACTTTGTGATTTTATTTGATTTTTATCATGCAGGGAGCAATTGAGTACCAGGAGCTGTTCAGTTTTAGTTCCTTGACCAGCTGATTCCTGATTGTATAGAACTACGTTGGGTGCTTTGACAAATGTAGGTAAACTGTAAAAAGGTAAAATCATTGAGAAGAGACTGTCTTGGGCAAATATTAAGAGAGCAAATATACAGAGCTTCCTGATTCTTTGTCAAACTAAATAATCATGATGTAAGACTACCCGGTAACAGCTTATAGACTTCACAGATCTCAACTGCAATAATTCAATTGCTTGTTTTTTTAATTTTAAAAATACTAGTCATTATTGTATTCTTTAGGAATATATGAGATAGAAAGAATTATTATGGTATCTATTTATATGGTATAATATAACATTATCATTAAACAACAGACGAAGTTAGCATTTAAATAATGCAAAAGAAAAACAAACTGATTTATATCTCCTAATGTTTCCTATAACAATCTCTTTTCAATGATTTTACCTTCTCACAGTTTACCTATACTTGTCAAATACATAGATAGTTCTAGACAGCTGGTCAAGGAACTAAAACTGGGCAGTTCTTAGTATTAAATTGTTCTCTGTACTGATCTGCACCATTCTAGATAATTGAGACACCAGCTCTATGTGAACACCGAAGTTACAGTTAGAACCTTAATAAACAATACTTAATAAGATTAACTTTTCTTACAATGACACACAGCACTGTAGTAGGGCATTAGCTTTAGACTCAGAAAGACATATACATCCAGCTAGCCAGGTATAAATCATATTTTTTTCTTTCAACTCCAAAGATACTGCCAGTAACTGTAAGTTTCAGAAACAGGTGAGAAGGATTTTGCACACCTATTCTGGTGAGATTTCACTTAAAGTTTTGTTATCTCTTTTTCCTTGTTCCCTTTATGCTGAAGCAAGAAACAGAAGTGCACAAAAGATACAAGCAACAATTTCAGTCAGTTAAAACAGTCCACCAGTGTATTAAATTACCACAAAATCTTATGCATACATACAGCTTCCAATTAAAGATCATAAGTTTAAAAAAAAAAGATCATAGGTACATTTTCTATACATGAAATTCTGATTCTGGATAAACACACTGACCTTACACATATTCTCTTGATTCAAACCCAGGTCCTTCGAGAGCAAGAGTCTAGAGTTCTTCCCATTATGCTATGCTGTCTCCTCTAATACTTTTCTTTAAGGAACAATTGTGTCTTAAAAGAAGCATTAGGGAAGGCAGTATACAGCAAAGAGGAGAATAAGAAGATATCATCAAAATCTGGTTCAGGTGATCCTAGGCAAATCACAAACTTCTGGATCCTCAGTTTTCTCATCAATAAAAGGAAGGGCCAAAAATGGACTAGTTGAACTTAAAGGTGCACAGTTCTCTTCTAAGTCTATGATTTATTACCTAACACTACTTGTACACAATCAACACATACAGAAAAAGACCCAGCCTACATAATCTGTAAAGTTTATTATTAGGAAACATGAATAAAAGGTTAAAAAAGGGCTGTTTCTTGTCTGAAACACACTGAATAATTCATGACAGGGCATATGCAGGCAATGGTAAAGTATTAAATAGTATCCAAATTAAGAGGCCATAATTCAAACTGTTCAATTATAATCCAAGTGTCCTGGCAGAAGTACACCATGTATCCTGGCAGAAGTACATAGTTTTACTTCTTCGTGAAGTCTATTGCCTTCAGAGAAAATGATTAAAAAGCCTCACCACAAAGAGTTATATAACTTACAGTAAACAATGCCTTTTTTATGATTAAGCATGCACCTATCACACCAAGCATTGTAACTTCCTATTTACAAATGTCTGAAGTTTCTTAAAACCATGTCACATCCATCATTTAAAGTGCAAGCTACAAATATGCTGTACTCCTAAAGGGGAAAAAAAAAGGCATTAAAAAAGTCTGATGTAGAGTCCAAATCCTGTCCAAAGTGGTTATATAACTAACCAAAAGGAAACTGGCAGAGCATTCCTAGCTCCAGTCAGGTTTTAGTGTAACACCCTCAAGGGAATTCTTTTCTATAATACTACCAACCAAACATATATTCCATTGCTTTAGATACAAGACTTTCATCTTTTCTCGGAGTTTGTCTGTCAGAAACAACCTAAAAGACACACACAGAGAAAGAGAGAAAAAGACCCACTATTTTAGTAAGCAATTTCTTCAAAACAACTAATTGCATAGTAAATAATTAAACTGAAAATATTAAATGATTTGTTTACTCATTCAACAAGCACGTACTGAACGTCTACTATCTGGCAAGGCACCATGGGGAATACAAAGACAAATAAAACATCATCACCTAACTTCACAGAACTTGATACCTGGGCCATCATATTTTAAAAGGACTAAAATCTGGATTAGTAAAACAGGGTGGCAATGGTTTTATATCTATTATTTCTCCTACTCCACAAATAAAAATTAGTAAATTGAAACAATGAAATATATTCAGAATGAAAAAATCTCCCAGATTTTAAAAAAGGTTAAAGGACAAGCCAATAATCATTACCATTTTATTACCTTTGCTACAGATCTTTTATCTGCTACTATGATAACAGAAATGCAGCTCATCAAACTAAAATGATACCTAACTCCCCAAGGAAGGAGACAAAAATATAGAAGGTAAGGAAGGAAAGAGTCTTTTCATTAATCCAAATCTCATTTTCAAAAAATAACTTTTAAGAAGCAGCTAGGTGGCACAGTGGATAGAGCACTGGCCCTGGAGTCAAGAGGACCTCAGTTCAAATCCGGCCTCAGACACATAACACTCACTAGCTGTGTGACTCTGGGCAAGTTGCAAGTTACCCAACTGCCTCACAAAAAAAATAAATAAATAAAAAACATTTAAGAACATACAGTTGGTTAAATCATCTCCAATGGAAAGGAGAAAGGCATGCCAAAACCATTAATTTAATCACTTTTTAAAAACATATTAAAAAAAAGATTTCAAATCAAGATCTCTTATAAACAAGCTAAAAAAATGCTGTATGTACAGATTAAAAAATATTTTCTTATTCAACTCACAAAATACCTGATAGTCACTAGTAGAAGCTTTATAAGCTGTAGCAAGAGGTCTCATGGTAGAAATTCTAGGAGTACTTGAAGGCTGTACAGGTGTGCCTAAGGTTTTGATTGGTGGTGTGAAGGCTGATCCTGGAGAAGATATGGTGCTTCTATCACAGCTTTCCATAACGCTCTAAAAAAAGAAAAAAAACGCAAAGCTTGACTTAGATCATAAAGCTGAACGGGACTTCAAGGAGTCATCTAGTCCAAATCTTTCATTTCACAGATGAGAAACTGAGACCCTAAAATCATACAGGCAATAAGTAGCAAATTTGGGGTTAAGCCTAATTCCCCTGACTTCTAATCCAATGTTCTTTCCACTTTATCCCTTCTTTAATAGAAATATATCAGTATAAAAATTTAGAGTAAATTTTTTTTAATGAATTCATTAAGATGTCTAGAATATCTTACCTGGTTCAGATTAACTTTTTGAACAACTTCTACATTGAAGTAAACTAAGGCTGTATGGTAAAGAGGCTGGGAATCAGGAGGCCTAGGTTGCAGTAAGGTTCTGCCACTAATTGGCTAACCAACCATGGTAAAAAGTATCACCTTTAATAGGTTTCCATTTCTACAACTGTAAAAGTAAAGAGGTTCCCTTTCCTTGGTATCACAGACAATGAGGTGGAAGGAACTTTAGAGGCCATCTAGTGCAACAATCTTACAGATGCAAAATTATCTGATTAGACTTGATCTCTAAAGTTTCTTCTTAGATCTATGAATCATTATATGAATTCAATCTAACAAGGTCCACGGCATTTGCTAGCCAAGTGACAATACAGTAAAGCCCTACCTTCAATTAAAACAGGATTTCAAACAACCTCAACAAACCTATAACATAGTCATAAAACCAAAAATAAGCAACAGAAGCCTCTGAAAGGCAAATTTTGCCACAAACAAAAAATTCACAAACTTTAATCATTAGGAAAGATGTGGACTACATACAAATACTTTTCTCCATATACCTGTGAGGCTTTCTAATACAGATCAATAAGTAGCTTAAGATGCAGTGACAACAGGAACAAGTTAAAGAGAAGTTATGAAAACATTTAATGTAGAAACAAATAGTCCTAAACACTCTTATTAGACCCAGTATAATTAAAGTATGGCATGGTACAATAATCAATGTTCTTGATCTAATGAGTCATTAAGAAAACATTAAATTATGTTCAGTATTCTCTGCTCTAGGCAGATGTGCAACACGTTTAGAAATATTTCCATCAAAAGTGGTTAAACTTTTTTTTTAAGTTAGGTAAGTTTCATGTGAATGTAGAACACCTTATTTCCCAACATGCTAACATTACTAATAATATTATTGTTATCTTAATTCAGCTTCACTATAATCCACTTTATAGCAAAAGAGACACAACAAGGGCATAAATGACATAACAAAGCTAGTTACAGGCAAAAGCAGCCACAGAAATCAAGAGTCTCAACTCTCAGTTCAGTGGTCTTCCTATGGGCTAGGTTATATACCTGCTTTCAAAAACTTACTTTATCTATACAAGGCTTCACTCCAATCATGATGGACTCTCCAAAAATCCTTCCATCTTTGCTTAAGGCTTTCCGGGCCTGAAGTTTGGACTGATAACGAATGTGCATCCAATTCCCTGTGTTAGACATCTGTACAGATTTCAGTTACAGAAAATATGAGATGGAGTCAAAGCATGAGATTGTATATAAGTGAAATTCCCCAATAAAAATAACAAATCAAAATCATTATTCTATAGTGCTTTGTGGTTTATAAAAACATCCCTCTTAAAGCTATGTGGGGCGGCTAGGCGGCACAATGGTAGAGCTCCAGCCTTGGAGTCAGGAGGACATGAGTTCAAATTCAGTCTCAGACACGACACATACTAGCTGTGTGGCCCTTAACCCCAACTGCCTCACCAAAAAGTAAACAACAACAACAAAAAAAGCTATGTGATAGGCAATATAAGTATTATCTCTATTTTTTTTTTTTGGTTGAGTCTGAGGCAAGTGTCTCAGGCCAGACTTGAACTCAGGTCTTCCTGACTCTTAGGCGAGAGCTCTATCCACTGCACCATGTAGCTGCCACTTATTTCTATTTTAAAAGTAGGGAAATGGAGACTTAAAGAAGTTAAATGGCTTGTTCATGATCACACAGCTTCTTTTTTGACTCTTTGCCCAGTACAGTTTCCATTATACTATGCTGTACCAACAAATTAACAAATGTTTTTTAAAAAGAATTATGGATAATAATAAAAAATGGTCCTATTACACTTAGTAGTACTATACTACTAATTTACAAATAACAAAACTCTATTTCAAATGCCTTTTCCTAAATTCTATTTATATGAATAACATCTTCTTCAAAGAAAGCACTAGTAAATATTTTAAGTGGTGATATTTAAATCTAAAATTATGCTTAGAATAAGTATTTCCATAATTTTAGATCTCTGAAACAACAAAAAAAGTAGACTCAATTAGCTTTACAGATTTAAAAGTTTCTGTGAGGAACTACAGGAGAGGCCAGATCCATGCCTAATTCTCCTATGACTCCCCTGTCCACCTGTCAATAAACCTGCAACAATCATCAATGATAACTGGTATGACTTCATTTATGTAATGAACTCCTGATGAGGATACTCCTTCAATCAATGCAGATCTGCAGCTGCTCTGCCTGGGGCACTGAAAGAGTAAATAACTTGCCCAGGGTCACACAATTTGAATGCATCAGAGACAGGACTTTAATCTGGGTCTTGATGACTCCATGGACAATTCTTTAATCCACTCTGCCACAATGCCTCAACAATAATATCTCAGGTTCACATGGTTCTTTAAGGTTGACAGAAAGCACTTCCTCAGAACAACCTTGAGAAGTACATACAGAAAGTATTATCATCCTCATTTTACAGACTGGGAATCTAAGGCACACAAAGTTTAAATAACATGCCCAGAGTCACACAGTAAATAATGCAAGCAGCAGGATTCAAATTCAGCTCCACTATACTTTGCTTCATGTCAGACCTTTCAGAACTTAAGGAAAACGTCATACCAAAAATAAAATCTTCAAAACCACAGACAAAGAACTGGGAAGGGGCAGGTAGGTGGCACAGTGGATAGAGCACTGGCCTTGGACGCTTGACACTTACTAGCTGTGTGACCTTGGGCAAGTCACTTAACCCTACTGCCCAGCCACCCCCCCCCAAAAAAAGAAAGAAATGGGGAAATATGAGTGAAAACACAACCCTTCTGATTTCTCCTATCCACAATTCATCTTTACTCTTTTAAATTATTTCCCTTCTTTGAAATCTTCTTTTAGTAAAGCTTACCACATGTTTTAATATGTTTCCATACTGTGCAAACTGTAGGAGTATGTAGGAAGCAGATGCTTGAGGAAATCTGAAAAGAACAGAAACCACATTCAACACAATATTAACAATGCAAATACCATCAATCAGTAAGCATTTATTAAGTCATTACCATGTGCCAGACATACACCTTGTGATACAAGGACAAAAGTAAAAGTCTCTACTCTCAATGAGCTCACTAAACTCTTGTGTGGAAAAACAACTGAAAAAATTAAAGAGCTTTAATTGCTAAAAGCATCAGTCTAAGTAAGTTCACTTTTCAAGTCACAACAATCTGGTAAGAAGGGACAGCAACACAAAGATTTTAAGAAGGATCTTAAGAAGAATATCTCCACCCCTTAAAGTAGAACCCCTCCAGCTGCCATGAATTCTCGCATTTCATTCTCTATCAAACACTCCAGTCTTTTTTTTTCTTACCTCTATTTTAAGTGATTCCAAATCCATTCATTTCACAATGAGAACCTTATAATGATATTTAATTATGGCATTCAGATTTGCACAAATTGTAGTACTATAAACCAAAGTATTTTTTCAGAAGGATTCAATCTAAGATTTTCACAGTACCACTGTGGTAAAGTCATGACTCACTTAGCTAGAAAAATGACTGAATTGTCTCAGTTATATACTAAGTGAATAGCCAAAGATCATAAAGTTAACAAAAAAGGTCTCCCACTAATCAAAATATCGAGAAGTCCATGAATTAAAATACGTGCATTTTGCTGGTAGTAGAGTCCTTCAGGTCTTCATTCTAGTTCTATTTATTCTTATTTTAGACACACTTCTAACAGACTTCATCATTATTAGGTCCAGCCCACAGCATATTAAAAGCAACCAGCAAGAGGAAGGGAATGAGAGAGGAGGAGAATACATCTGCCAGAGACATTCAGTTAGTCAATAAACATATATTAAATATTGACTGTGTCCTAAGTGCTGGGTATGAGACAGTATGAGATAGTCACACTAATAATAGGATAATAGAATTACAGGACTACAAGCTGAAAGAAACTTAATTATCATGTAGTTCAACATCTTCATTTTACAAATGAGAAGTTGGGACCCAGAGACATTAAATGATCTGCCTAAGGTTGCACAGCTATTAGGTAGCAGAGATGTGATTCACATTCATGTCCCTTGGATCCAGGACTGACAATGCTCTTTTTTTTTTTCTGGCTAGGCAACTGGGGTTAAGTGACTTGCCCAGAGTCACATAGCTAGTGCTATGTGTCTGAGGCCGGATTTGAACTCAGGTCCTCCTGAATCCAGGGCCGGTGCTCTATCCACTGCACCAGCTAGCTGCCCCAACAATGCTCTTTCCATTTTACCGTGACAGCAGAAAGAAGTAACAATTTGACAGTGATGGAGGAGATGTGAAAAAAATTATAAAAAATCAGAAATGAACCAAAAGATCACAGCATTCTGGGATCGACTAAGCATCCACCTCAAGATACCTTAAGAATAACTTTATTGTAGTAGAAGACTAGTATTAAGGATAGCCCCATGTTACCCTGAAAAAGTTAAATAATGTTCAGTATAATTTACTGAACCAGGAAAATACATTAAATAACTGAGAAATAATTCCATAAAAATGGTTAACATAAAATGTTTTGGCACTTAAAAATGTTGTTATCCTGAAAATGTCATTATATGGAACACTTTATTCCAAGATGAATAAATAAGGTATTCCTATAATATGGAATGAGGCAAAAAAATAACAAATGAAAAATGGGGAGGCTAAAGATAGAAAATGTTTCCAAGTGCTTCAAGCAATCTACCCAATTCATAGTGACATAATCATGTTACTGACATTGCTGCTACTGAACTGAAGATTTTTGTTCAGAAGTTGAAATTCAGTTATCAATGTACTGGCATTTCATGATTAAAAGAATATAAAGATTCAAATACAAAGAACCTAGTTTCAATTATTACAAATACAGGCTTGAATGAGGAAAATTCTTGGTCTTTCTGAAAAAAAAATGAGAGAATGAAATAATTCTGATTTTATGTTATATTACTCTAACATCAACTGACTTCCAAAACTCATGCGGTAAGTTTCAGTATTTTTCTGGCAACTGTTTTCAAAAAACAACCAATCTCTTATCTGTTCAGCTACTTCATTTTTACTGATATGTGATGACTAGATAAATGTGCATGCTAGGTGTTACGTTATATATATTTACATAATTGTCATGATTTTTATGCCAATTTTGTTGCTTCAAAATTATGTATGAAATAGAAGGAAGAAGTTACTGGAAAGTGGGCAAAATGACTCTCTGGAATTAAGACTCAATCATAGATGAGGGCATAGTAAGTCAGACACAGTAAGAAACCAAATAACAGCCACATAATTCTAATCCAAATTTAAAATAAATGACTAGGGATATATCTATTTTCCCACACTAAAATAAGGTTACACACTTGATTAATAAAATACATTAATTGTTGAATATTTTTAAGACAACAAAATAAGGAAGTAGTTTAGTTCTTTGCCCAAAAATAAAAAAGCTTAAGGCAGAGACCCAAACGATGAAAATCTCTTACCCAAATACAGTTACCCAAGTGTCATCAAGGTGATCTTCTGAAGTCAGGGAATCTCCCTGAGTATAAAAGGGATCCAACTGAGCAGGAGACAGAGTAGTCTTTCGTGGCTGACCAATATTTGCTGGACTGAACACGCCTGAACCTATTATTAAAAGATAAGTTAAATTCCAATGTGATCGATTCATTTTATTTGAAATCTATGTTTTAAATGAAAAATAGCACATAAAATTATGCAAAATTTATTAAAAGAACTTTAATCAAAAAAAGATATTTGTGAACTTAATAGTTAAAAATTTGAAACTTATAGAAAACAAACGGTTAAAAATAATTTTCAGTGTTATTTCATAGTATTTTCATTTTTGCTAAATATGAATTACATTCTCCATGAAGTCCTTCCTGACCATTTTCATTTTTACTATCACTATAACTTGAAAAAAAAAAGTCAGAGGTACTAGAGAGCACAACTAGATCTAGGCAGCAAGGATACCTTGTTCAAGGAGCCTAACACTTCTCAGCCATCCCTGTACCTATTCTAGTGTGGGGTCAAGGTTCTACACCTTGCATGTGCTCAAGAGGGCAGAAAAACAATGGACAGGCAATGAATTAATCCTATGGTTCTCTTATCCTTTTTTTTTCCCTTGAAAACTGAAAAGTCCACCTGGCTCCCAAATGTGGGGGCTTGTTATTATATTTAAAACAAATCTGTTGCACTTTGATGCAATGCTGTGCACATTATTCAACAAATACTTATTTACTAAGAGCTTACTCCTTGCAAGTCACCAGAAGAGATATAAAGATAAGTAAGACATAATACCTACTTTAAACAAGGTTACAATGCAAAAGGGATAAAACATACAAATAAATAAGCATAATACAATAAGCACATAAAAAGAACACAAATAAATTAGAGACACATAAGAAGAATATAATGAAGTAGAGGTGATTTCTAAGTAGGATGGGAAAGACTTCAAAAGTCACCTAGTCCTACTCTCTCATTTTGTAGAAGAGGAAACAGAGGCCCAGAAGGCTTAAGTGACATGCCCAAGGTCACACAAGTAGTGAGTACCAGAGCTAGAATTTGAAATCCAGGCCCTCTGACTCCAAATCTAGCATTACTAAAGCTTTAACACCAGGGAAGATTCTATGACAGAGAAGGCATTTGAGTTTGGTTTTGAGGGTTCAGTAGAAGAAGGTCAACAGGTTAAAAAAAATCACTTTAAGCAAAGGCACAGGATTGTGAAAGGATTTTCACAAGGACCGTGAAAACTTCAATTTGATATGAGGGAAAGAGGTAAGTAAGAAATAAGGAATAGAAAGACTGGTTGGAATCAGTACAGGTCTTTGAATGTCCAGGCTAAGAAATAGGGACTACGTTCAATATACAATGTGACCTGATCCCTATTCCCTTGGGGAGGAAAAGGAAACTTGGGGGAGGCAAGGGAGATGATGGATGTTAAGGATTTGATGGGCTCTCACAGGGAAGCTGGATTAAACATGTTCTGCTTGAACAAAAAAGGAAAGACACAGAAGCAACAGGTGGCAGCTGAAAAGGATTAAAATTAGGCTTAAGGTAAGGGGAAACTTCCTGATAATTAGAGCTCTCCAAATGTGAAATGTACTATTTTGGGCAGTGGTGAGTTCCCTCCCCCTAACCCACAGACTTAAGTAGAAAAGCAAACATACCCCTTTTGTCAGGTATGTTGTAGATAAGTTTCTTATGCAGGTACAGGTTGGACTAGATGGCCTCTCAGATTCTTTCCAACTTGGAGATTCTGTGATCAAGACCTGTACATTAGGAAGTATTGCTTCTGTCTGTGATACACAGCATAGACTCATGGAAGGAGAAAGGATATGGAAAGTTTTGTTAGAAGACAACTGCAATAGCCCAGGAGAGAAGTCATCATTATCAGAATTAGAAAGGTAGAAGGTACTGGTAACAAGAGGGACAAATGTGAGCCACACTGAGGAGGCAAAATGAATAGAACTTGGCAATCAATTGGGTGTGGGGAACAATGAAGAGGGAAAAGTCACAGATGATTACAATGCTGAAAACATGGATAACTAAAAGACTGGTAGTACAACTAACAAAGTTAATAAAGTCAGGAAATACAGCAGGGTTAAGAAAAATGAAATCACTTCAGTTTCTAGGTGTCTAGAATTTCAGATACTCTTAAAAATTAAAAGAAAAAACACATATAGTGACAATGAGATAGTCCAAAAAACCTCTACAATTTTACGTATGAACCTATGTAGAAGCCTAGGCTTTTTTACAACAAGCTGTCTCTGCTCTAAATCAGCACTTCATAAACTGTGGGTCGAGACCACATATGGGGTCATGAAAAATTTGGCAACAGTAAAAGGTTTCTGAAAGCCCAACAACCAAAAATTCATTCAAAATCAAACACACAATGAATGTCAGGTGTTTCTGACAGCACCTGCTCATGTTGCATCGAGCAACTTCACAGGAACCTTGGTCACGAACACAAAGCATGTGCACTGTGCATGCCTTCAGGCCAAACACAGCCAAGGAAGGCTGACCAAACTCAAAAAGGGGTCCTGAGTGGAAAAAGTTTAAGTCCTGCTCTAAATAAATCCCTTCCTCCTCCATGCACCTCCTCCCTTTTCTGGAGTCTCCTATACCTGGAATTCAGGCATGCAACCTCATTAAATAGGACTTCCCAGACTATCAAAGAAGTAGAAAATCCTGCCTATTTGAGACCTTGAGCCCTCTGCATAAAAACCCTGGATCTTGCACACATGCCAGAGATCCCCTGTTATACAGGAAAGAACCCAGAATTATTCACACCAAACTATGACTGATAAGAACTTAGGTGCCAAGTCCAAAGAACACCTCTTAGAAGAATCATTGTTCTACTTCCTCCATCAGCTATAGCCCAAAGATTATCTTAACCAAGGCCCGGATGTCATTCTGCTGGCTGATCACAATGGTGATGAACTCTTCTAGAAACTGGATTATATTCTTGTCCCTCCAGTGACCTGTGATCTGGATGTCTTTGTCCCTCTCCTCCGTCTACAAGATGCCTCAAAATAAAGCTACAAGTCTTCCTTTTCATGTGTGTTAAAACATACCAATTGGTCAATTCCTCTTATGCCTCTTCTGTGGAAACTGCTAAGCCCCAAAAAAACCAGAGATTCAAACAGAACTATTCTGAATCCTCAAGCAAGCTACAGTGCAAAGAAAATTAGATCTAGAGCCACTTATTACTTGTGTGATATTGGACAAATTACTTATCTGAGCCTCAGTTTTCTCATCTGACAAATAAGCGAATTAGACAAGAACACTTCTAAGGCATGTGCCAGCTCTAAATCTATATGATCCTACAAGCTTAATAAATCAACAACTCTATCACAAAACTTAAGTGAATATTGAACACTTACCTCTAATCCATAACAAAAAAATCTGACTGGAATGTGAAGCTATTCCAGCTCTTCCTGCAACAACAGTCCCTAATAGGACCAAACATTCATTTAAGCTAATGCTAAATATTAATGTAATTAAATGTTCCATTAACTACTACAATGTCTCATTAACCAGGATCTCCCAATCTTCCTTGTATAAAAAACGCCTTCCCTAAAACTGGCATCTTATATCTCCCCAAGGACATTCGTTACTCAGTGAAGCCTTCCCAGATGACCCTTGCCAGAAGTGATCTCTTATATTGATTTCATAAAACTCTATTCCTCCTATGCACTAATTTTTATTTATCTATACATAAGCAAATCCTTCCTCCAACATTTAATGTGTGACCCTGGGCAAGTAACTTAACCTCCACTTGCCTCAGTTTTATCATCTGCAAAATAGGAATAATAACAACATCTATACCTCCCAAGGTTGTTGTATGGATCAATCAATCAACATTTATTAAGCACCTACTATATGCATGCACTGTGCTAACCACTGGATCAAATGAACTAATATTTGCAAAATACTTTGCAAATCCTCCCCTAACATTTCATTTTTCCCTGCCTTAATTCTTCTGCAAACCTATTCTTCACCCTCACCATTAATGGCAATCTCTCTCCTCAATACTTCACCAGGCAACCGCCCCTTGTTCTGGCTGGACTCTCCTCCCAACCTCAACTTTTTTTTTTAAGGCAATGGGGTTAAATGACTTGCCCAGGGTCATACAGCTAGTGTTATGTGTCTGAGGCTGAATTATGCCACCTACCTGCCCCCCCAACTTCAACTTCTTAATGAAGTAATTTAACTCTCCACTATTCTCTACTCTTGAATCCCTTGTCCTATAAACCCTTAAGGTTAAACTCCCAACTCCAGATTACTTCTATCACCATCCCATCTCCTCCAGATGAATGGAGGTCTCATGGGTCTAATTATCAACTCTTTGCTGATAACTCCCCGAATTATAGATCCAGACTCAGTCTTTCTATCCCCGTGAATGTCCTAGAAACATACTAAATTCAACATGCTCAAAATTGAACACATGATCTTTCCCCACCAAACTTCCTTATTTCTACCAAAAGCACAACCATTCTTCTAGTCTCCCCAGTTTAAAACTGTGGCATTATCATCAACTTCTCAGTCTTCCTCACCTCATATACCAATCAATTGCCAATTTTGGCATTTCTACCTCCACGATACCTCTTACATCTAATCCCTTCTCTCTACTCAAACAGCTATTACCTTAATTCAAGTCCTCATTACCACTCACCTAAATTATTAGAAGGGCTTCCTTGCTTCAAGTCTCTCTCCAGTTCACCCTAACTTAAAAATAGTTAACAAAGTAAATTTCCTTAAATACTGATCTAATCATGTCACTCCTCTACCTAATAAACCCCAGTGGTTCCCTATAACCTTTAGGATGAAATATAAACTTCTCTGTTTAGTTTTTAAAACCTTGGCCCCAAACTTTTCAACATCACTTCCCTTACTCTGCCCACACCAATACCCTCTGATCTGGCTTTTTCTCTGTTCCTCATACATAGCATTCCATTCCCCAGCTCTAACTCTACCTCCTATCTCCATGCCTTTGAATCAGCTCTCTCCAATGTACTTTATTTCGCCACCTCTGCTTCACTGAATCCCTCTATTCCTTCAAATGCACCTCAAGGACCACTTTCTAGCCTTTACTGATTCCAACAGCTGCACTTAGTGTCTTCCCT